ATAAGCACCAACACACAATTAAGTATTTAACTGGAAAACACCTGCAGGAGATACATCATTTTATTGTCATGCCGCTGACAAGCTAATAACTTTAGATTCTGGCTTTTTGAGAAAACCTGAGCATGGGGATGAGATCCTTGCACATAGAGGTTTTCTTGTTAGAGAGGAGTTGGCCGCTGTTGGAGCAACATTAAGAATCCCAAGTTTCACTAAGTCTCAGTTGCCTGGTTCTGGTGTTGACACGTCACGCCAGTTGTCAAAAGTCCGTATACATGTGGTACAAGTTTTAGGTCAGCTGAAAAACCTTCAGATACGGAACACTGTGATACCCATCAGCCAAGTCGATATGCTAGATGAGATTGTAACCATATCTGCCGGTCTCACCTACCTAAGGAGGACTGTGGTGGCAATAACTGTTCAGAGAAAGTGTATCTGGAACACATTGCAGATATGATTGCGGCACTTCCCAGGCCTCTAAGGGCAAATGACTATCATGACAGAATTCAAAGTATTTACAGAATTCAAACTTGTCACATGTGATTGGATCTTTATGTTCTCATCAGTGTTTTAAAAGAATTTTAAAACTGCAACATAATGTAATCAAAATGAAACGTACACTTTTCAACAACAAATAATACTGAATCAACATTCATCTAACATTTCTGTCTGGAGGTGAATTATTAACGTGTTTTTCTTGCTTGAATTCTGAGTATTCTCCACTTTTTTGTTATTTTCATCCACGTTTCTGGTATCTGGTAATGTTCACACATGCATAGTGAAAGTGTTGGCAGCAGTCTGTGCACTTGATCATTATCCAAAGCTAGGCCTTTTGAGGTGGGTGTCTTTGCAGCGGCAGATGAGTTCTGGAAGGAGGTGGCCCATGAAGAAGACTTCAGCCGTGGCAAGAGTGTCTTGTTGAAAGGGCTCATCTTCCCTAGCCGGCAAATGGTGTTGCTTGTCTTGGTCCACACCATGAAGTTACACCTGTAGTTCAATCTGTGTGTAAGGGTTGGGGGGGGTCAGGTGGAGGCTTCGACTGGGCTGGTGTGCTCTGTCCTGTGTGCATGCTGTGCATCCTGATAATTGTATTTTGGTTTTCTGGGGGGTTTGGCGGCTGGTTGTTGAAAAGGTGAGGCACTATGGAGATGGGGTTGATGGGGTGGGTTGGGCCTTTTGAACTAGTTGGGGGGGGGTTTCTTTAGGATTTTGGTGCTCGGATTGGATGCTTGGTGGTTGACCGGAGATCCTGTGTAGGGGGAGGACTGTGCATCGGGGTGCATCGATGGTCGTTTTGTGGTCATTGGCTGAGTCGAGTTTTGGGGTGCCCGGAGATTCCCACCCCTTGGTGGGTCCTAGACGCTTGGTGCGTCTGTTGGCCTCACGGAGCTGCTGTTGCAGGTTGACTGCTGTCCCTTTTATTTGGGGGGCGGTGGGGTCTGTGTGTGGGGTGGTGCTTCGCTGCTGTGGAGCAGAGGTCTGCAACCCCTTCGAAATCACTACTATCCTACCTCCACTAGGGCTCTCAGATTTTTAAGTTAAACAGCCAGTCCAACTTGGTGACAGAGGTTATCAGCAAGGTTCCAGTATCATACTCTCTTTGATACATGCTCTTTAATGTGTGTCAACTCTGCATAATAAGGAAACAGATACTTAGAAGGGCAGGCTTCTCATCTGGGCCGTACCAATAAGCATTTTCTACAGTTCTCTCCTCTGTAATTTCTTCAAAGTCAGTTACCACAGTTCATTGAGAGAGTAATGTCTGTTTTATCCGCAGCCTTTGCTGAGAAGTCAGCTCTGGCATTCACAGCAATCATTTTAGGCAACAGCACAGGATCAAGGAGTTCAGCAACCAGTTTGTGATGAGTGACAGGTTTGCCTGTGGATGTTAAAAAGTTCCTGTTCGCCCACAGTCTACCAAAATCCTGAGTAACACCCCAAGAATAACGGCTACCTGTTAAAATGTTTACAGTTCTGTCTTTTGCATATTTACATGCTTCTATCAGTGCAACTAGCTCTGGTGCTTGTGCAGAAAAGTTTGTAGGAAGTGGTTTTCCCAAAATTGTCTCATGCAAAGTTGTTACTGCAAAACCTGCTCAACTTGTTCCAGTTGCTGGATCTCGTGATGCTGAGCCGTCCACAAACAAATCCATCTTTTGCATTCGTTAGCTGTGTTTTCTGTAAGTCTGCCTTCGGGGAGCAGGCTTCTGTAACACAGTCATGCGACTGTCCTTCATCACGAAATGGAAGGAGAGTAGCAGGATTTAGTACAGTGCATCTTTTAACAGTGATGTTAGACATATCAAGCAACACAGTGTTGTACCTCAGCCACCTGGCTGTAGAGAGATGAGATGTTTATTGTTCAAGCTAAATCGTTGATTCTGCATGTGGAACCAGCAACAAGTCAAATCTAAATTGCCCCTAACGTCACATGACGCAAAGCCTGATTTTTCAGCAGCTGCCACAGCTCTCAGGCAGTTTGGCTGCAACAGAGTCCAGTTTGGATGAAAACAGGCTACTGGTCTCAGTCGACAACACTGAAGTCATGTGACCCTCCTTCTCGTCAGCTGTCAAGTGAAAGGTTTGTTGCAGTCTGGTAGACCAAGGGTCAGTGGACATTAAAGAGCCAGCTTTAAATCAAGTTTCTGCCCATGGTGCCTTAATATTAGCATCACTTGCTAACCCACTGTCATCTCCTAAAAGTTGATTTAGCATTTCTTTGTCTCTAATTTTGGGATGGTCTGAATTGCTTCAGTTCAATTTGGGCAAGAGAGCTTTTTCTCTCTGCAGGGATCACATCACCCAGAAAAATCTAATTCAGAAACAGAGTGCAGTTTAGATATGCTAGCTCTATGGCCATCATCAGAAAGGTGTTCAAGAGACGTCTCTCACAAAGATTTGTTTGTCAGTCCACCGTGAGACACCAACCCATCCACACACCCAGGACAGATGTAAAGTAGTTTTAATAAGTTTGCATTTCCTTGCTTATTTGGCTTGCTCTGTGTTTTGCCACCACAGAGTCTGATAGCATCTGAAAACTATCTGGTAGGTGTGTGACTGTAAAAACCACAGAGTAGAAAGCAGCAGCCAGTGGGTACAGAAGAGTTATCATCATGTTCAGGAGAAAACTAAACTGCTGGTTTTATTATTTTGTCACTCACCCTGACAAATAATCACTCTAGGCCTGGATAGAATTATATACAGTGGGTACGGAAAGTATTCAGACCCCTTTAAATTTTTCACTCTTTGTTTCATTGCAGCCATTTTTCCAAAAATCAAAAAAGTTCATTTTATTTCTCAGTAATGTACACTCAGCACCCCATCTTGACTGAAATGTAGAAATTTTTTCAAATTTATTAAAAAAGAAAAACTGAAATATCACATGGTCATAAGTATTCAGACCCTTACTCATATTTAACTCAGGTGCTGTCTATTTCTTCTGATCATCCTTGAGATGGTTCTACACCTTCATTTGAGTCCAGCTGTGTTTGATTATACTGATTGGACTTGATTAGGAAAGCCACACACCTGTCTATATAAGACCTTACAGCTCACAGTGCATGTCAGAGCAAATGAGAATCATGAGGTCAAAGGAACTGCCTGAAGAGCTCAGAGACAGAATTGACTGAATACTTTCCGTACCCACTGTATGTGTCCTTGAGATCAGTGCTTGAAGTGGGCCGATTACTAACCGGTACCTGCACTTTTTTCCTTTTACTCTCCTGCCCCGGGACTTCTCCAGAGCTGCCAGTATTCTTCTCTGCCCTCTCCATATCCGGTTCTCCAACCCTGGTGTTTTACCCGGGATTCTCCCGTATTTTACATTTCTGTCCCGCTGTTATCCCATTTTAATACTTTCCCGTAAATTTCCTGAACTTCTAACCTTTCTAACATTTTGAAATGTTTGCTACCTCAGGTAAAGCAGGTGGAAGTATGTAGAACATTAGCTGTAACAGTGACGGGAAGTCAACGGCACCCACCAATAAAACAAGAACAAGAGCAGCGCGAGTTTACTCATTTAGCCGACGCTTTTATCCAAAGAGACTTGTACATGTCAGAGGTTGCACGGCTCTGGAGCAACAAGGGGTTAAGTGTGTTGCTCAGGGACACATTGGAGGATGTGTCACAGTGGGGGATTGAACCCAGTTCTCTCGCACCAAAGGCATGTGTCTTATCCACTGCACCATCACCTCCCCACTTTTCTTTATGCATTTCATCAATTTATTTATTTAAATTATTTATTATTTCCCCTTTTTCTGCTGGGCTGCGTTGTTTATTTATTTCTCTGCTGGGCTGTGTTGTTATTTATTTATTTATTTCTCTGCTGGGCTGTGTTGTTTATTTATGTATTTATTTATTTATTTCTCTGCTGGGCTGTGTTGTTTATTTATTTATTTCTCTGCTGTGTTGTTTATTTATTATTTATATTTATTTCTCTGCTGGGCTGTGTTGTTTATTTATTTATTTATTTATTTCTCTGCTGGGCTGTGTTGTTTATTTATTTATTTATTTCTCTGCTGGGCTGTGTTGTTTATTTATTTATTTATTTATTTCTCTGCTGGGCTGTGTTGTTTATTTATTTATTTATTTATTTCTCTGCTGGGCTGTGTTATTTTTATTTATTTATTTATTTATTTATTTCTCTGCTGGGCTGTGTTGTTTATTTATTTATTTATTTATTTATTTATTTATTTATTTATTTATTTATTTCTCTGCTGGGCTGTGTTGTTTATTTATTTATTTATTTATTTCTCTGCTGGGCTGTGTTGTTTATTTATTTATTTATTTATTTCTCTGCTGGGCTGTGTTGTTTATTTATTTATTTATTTATTTCTCTGCTGGGCTGTGTTGTTTATTTATTTATTTATTTCTCTGCTGGGCTGTGTTGTTTATTTATTTATTTATTTATTTATTTCTCTGCTGGGCTGTGTTGTTTATTTATTTATTTCTCTGCTGGGCTGTGTTATTTATTTATTTATTTATTTCTCTGCTGGGCTGTGTTGTTTATTTATTTATTTATTTATTTCTCTGCTGGGCTGTGTTGTTTATTTATTTATTTATTTCTCTGCTGGGCTGTGTTGTTTATTTATTCTCTGCGGTTGTTCGGCTGGTCGTCTCCTGTTTCCATCTTCTGTTTATGTGAACCCATTGTGATCAATATGAATGTGAACCATGGCTCTTTGTCATTTAGAGATCATCAGGTTACATAACAATGTAAATACAGACAGCATTGCAGATGTAAATACCCACATTTTGCATAAAACGTGCAGCAGGCCTGCGACCTTGACAGGGAAGAGGAGCTGCTGTTTAGTTTCCTCAGATTTGCCTAAAAAAGTCAATAATATGAGGAGAGTTTACTCGACACACACAGTCTGCAGAGCAGCACGATGATGAAGAGCATCTTACTGGTTGTCTTGTGTGTCTCAGGTCAGTGAATTCTTGAACATTTCTGATGTCTGTCTGCTTATTATAGTGAAATAATGAATAAGTCTCAGGAGCTGTCCTCACAAATACAGTGATTAGAAAAGTTTTAAACATGTTGTCTCACTGGGACCATTGACCAGTCTGCCAGTGGAGGAAGACTTCAGATCCTTTAGTTCAGTAAAAGAAATGTCAAAAATACTCTGTTCATTTAAAATCCTACTGAAGTAAAAGTAATACTTGGTCACAAGATCTCTGACGTAATTGCTGACGTAATCTGCACTCTGCGCATGCGTTGGCGTCTGTAGCCACCTGTCAGAAGCTCCGTCTTAAACCGAACTCTTATCCAGTTTTTATCCACTCTTTTTCGTTACATTTTTTAGATCCTTTTTATTTAACTTAAGTTTTTAACATAAGTTTTACGTGGGTTAAGGATTTTAGTCATCCGACATGGATTTTAAGATAGATGACCGTAAAAACGCGATCAACGCTACTGATCGCAACAAAGCTCCGGTGACTATACTAGCCGAGATAACTCTGCCCCATGAGGACTGCTCACTCCTTAAGAAAGCGAACAAGAAGATTGCTGACCTTATGGAAGACATCCGACGACTTTCAGAGGAACTCAAACAGAAAGATTCCCTGCTGACTGGCTTTATGGATGTAGCTTCAGTACAAGCCAAACAGATTGTTTCTCTTAGCGCAACCGCTAACATCCAGGACACCGTGCTCTACCTTTCCAAGGCTTTCCTCCTGCTCGACTCCGAAGCATCAGTCAACCTGGGCTGAAGTGGTGGTCCGTGGCTGCAAGAGAGGCTCGGATGGGGCTGCCTCTCCTCCGCACATCGGCCTCTCCAACCGCTATGCAGCCTTGTCTAACGACACTCCGGTCCATCCAGCTGATGCACCTGCGGCTTCGAGTCTCCCTGATACGGATCTCTTTCGGCGCACAGTGCCTGCCGACACTGTTGCATCTCCTCCACCGGCTACATCTCCTGCACTGGGCCGCCGGTCTGCCGCCGGGCCTGATCGGCGGCCGTCATCCCGGTTAAAAACCTCCGCTTCCCGACGTATGACACAGCTCTTCAGCAGTCTGAGCTGACAAAATCATATTTTAACCGTCTTTTTCACTTTTTTTTTTTTTTTAAACCTGTCCTGCCCAGCAGCCTGGTATAGAGGACAATGACCTGGATACCATATTGTGCCAGACAGATTTTACTTTAACAAGAGAGTATTAAAATCCTCCTTTGTCTGTTTTATTATTTATTTAATTATGTATTGATTTGTCAGCGGGCCGGACAGGGGGGCAGACACGGGGATGGGGGGGCACAAACAGACAGCACAGAGAAAGGACAACACCTGTAAGAGAAAGGGAAACATTTAAAAAAAAAAATAGAAAAAGTCCCCCACGCCCGCTACGCAATGCATCTAAGAATCAACCCACCCCCAGACACACCTACCAGCCGTACAGGACCCTGACCAGTAAGGCAGTACACACCCACCCCCATTAAGTGATAAAGTTGATCAAGGGGGACCAGAGAGATTGGAATTGTGTCAATTTGTTTTTTTTTTAGAGCAGATATTTTCTCCATGCTAATGTGGTCTATAAGGTGATTCCGATATTGGGTGATACTTATATTCTTTTTGGCCTTCCAGTTCATGAGGATAGTTTTCTTGGTGCACACAGAAATAATAGTAATCTCTTAAGGATTAGGACAACTGCACCAACTCCAGCACCCAGAACAAACTCATTTAAAATGGCTCTCTTCAATGTGAGATCACTTTCAAGTAAGACTTTTATCTTAAATGATTTTATCTTGTCTGCAAATCTAGATTTTATGTTTTTAACTGAATCCTGGTTGCAGATGAATGACTATAGCCAGCTAGCTGAACTGTGTCCGCCTCAATATGATTTTTAGTCAACCGAGGGTCAGTGGTCGTGGTGGTGGGCTAGTGAGCGTGTATAGGAAAAATTTTAAATGTCATCAAGTACGCTGTGATGAATTTAACTCCTTTGAAGTTCTCACTCTTAAAGTTGGAGGGCTGCATCATATTTGTTATAATTTATCGCCCCCAAAACCGCCTGGAGGATTTTTATCAGAACTTCCTGAATTTTTATCTACTCTGGTTTTAAATTATGACAGAATTGTTCTTTGTGGCGATTTTAATATTCATGTTGATGACCCCACCAATGTTAATGCAACTGACTTTTTAAATATGGCCGCTTCTTTTAACTTCAAACATGTCAAAGGGCAAACCCATAACCGTGGTCATACACTGGACTTGGTTTTTACCCTGGGTGTCAGCATTTCCTCTGTGGAATTAGTGGACATGACCATATCTGACCACAGATGTATTGTTTTTAGCTGCGATTCACCTGTTATTCATGCCGCCTCTCCAAGCTCCGTGTGTTCTCGCATCTTTAATGAACAATGTGTTTCAAAGTTTTGCGCATTCTTTCAGAGCCAAAGTCAACACCTGTCTGATTCCAACACCAACAATCTGGTCGATCACTTCAATCATATCTGCTTGTCGTCACTAAATATTACTGCTCCTCTAAAGGTTAGGCCTACGTCTAAAGCTAGTAAGCAACCCTGGATAAACGACAGCATTCGCAGCCTAAAAAGGGAATGCAGGAAAGCAGAGCGCAGATGGAAAAAATCCAGTCTCCAAGTCCATTACCTCAGTCTGAAGGATTTATTAATTAACTACAATAAAATGGTTAAGGATGCGAGAACACACTATTTTTCTGAACTCATTACTACACATAAACACAATCCCAGGTTTCTGTTTAAGACTGTGGATCAGCTGGTAAACCCAACCCCTCCTTGTGCCTCAGCTGGAAGTAATGATGACTGTGAATTGTTTTTATCTTATTTTACCAATAAGGTGGTGTCAATCAGAGCCTCTATTACCCCCATGGCCTCTTACTCAGAGGTTCCTCACCAGCAACAAGAGAGTTTTAACCAGTTTTATCCCATCGACTTGTCTGAGCTTTTAAAAACAGTATCACAAATGAGAGTGTCCTCCAGCCCACTTGATGTAATACCTACAAAGTTTTTACTGAAAGTAATAGATTCTGTTGGGCCCCATTTGATCTCTGTTTTCAACAGCTCCCTATCAACTGGTTGTGTCCCTGATTATTTTAAAACGGCTTGCGTGAACCCACTTTTAAAGAAACCTGGTTTAGATCCCTCCCTCCCACATAATTTTAGACCAATTTCAAAACTGCCTTTTATTGCAAAGATTCTAGAAAGAATTGTGTCCAAACAGCTGCTCACTGTGCTGGAAAATAACAAAATATTTGAAAAGTTTCAGTCTGGTTTTAGGAAGTACCACAGCACTGAGACTGCCCTGCTTAAAGTCACCAATGACCTTTTAATGTCTGCTGATGAAGGCATGTGCTCAGTCCTGGTACTCCTGGACCTTAGCGCTGCTTTTGACACCATTGATCACAACATCATGTTAGACAGACTGAGGCACTGGGTGGGGATCTCTGGTACTGCCCCAGAATGGTTTTCATCCTACCTGTCAAATAGGAAGTTTTGCGTGTCTGTAAACAACTATGTCTCCTCGTTCTGTCCAGTTAAATATGGTGTGCCTCAGGGGTCGGTCTTAGGACCCATTTTGTTTTCCTTGTATCTGCTTCCCCTTGGACATATTATCCATAAACATGGCATTTCTTTTCATATTTATGCTGATGACACACAAATATACTTGCCCATCAGATCCACAGACCCTGGAATGCTGAGTTCACTTAACAACTGCCTTTGTGAAGTTAAAAAATGGATGTCAAATAATTTCCTCCAGCTGAAATCACTCCTCCCTAGTAAATCACATTAAGCCTGTGGCAAAGAACCTTGGTGTCTGGTTTGATAGTAATTTAAATTTCGAGCAGCACACCACAAAGCTTGTTCAATCGTGTTTTTATCAACTTAGAAATATAGCAAAAATTCGATCTATGTTAACTTTTAAGGACACCGAGACCATTTTACACGCCTTCATCTCATCACGCCTGGATTATTGCAACAGCCTTTTCACCTGTTTAACCCAAAAATCTATCGATCGACTCCAGACTGTCCAGAACTCAGCTGCCAGGCTTTTAACCAGAACAAAGAAATATGACCACATTACTCCTATTTTAGCTTCATTACACTGGCTCCCAGTATGTTTTAGAATTGACTTTAAAATTCTATTGATCACTTTTAAAGCTCTTCATGGCCTCTCGCCTTGTTATATTTCTGACCTTTTAGTCCCATACGCACCAGCACGTACCTTGAGATCCTCGGGCAGAGGTCTGTTGTCTGTACCAGAGTCTCGACTGAAAACTAAAGGGGACAGAGCGTTTGCTGTCAGGGCCCCGAGGCTCTGGAACAGCCTGCCTGAGGAAATCAGGTCGGCTGAGTCAGTGAACTCTTTTAAGTCCCTTCTTAAAACATACTTTTATAGGAGAGCCTTTCCCGATCTTATTTGACTTTATTTTATCCCTTTTATTTTATTCTATTTTACTAATTTTATATTTATCTGTATTTTAGTCTTTTCAATGTTTTTGTATTGTTTTTTGTATTATCGTCTCTTGGTTATTATTGTCTTTACACTTGTTAAAGTACTTTGTAACTTGTTTTTGAAAAGTGCTCTACAAATAAGGATTATTATTATTATTATTATTATTATAAAAGTACAGAAGTATCATGAGCAAAATGTACAAAAGTCACAGAACCTCTCCGAATGTTATTAATGACACTAATAGATTTTTATGACTGTGTCAGCAGACATTTATCTTTCTGAGCAAACAGCTAAATCATTGAACCCAGTGGTTCCCAACCCAGGGGTCATGGCCCTCCAGCTAAATGTGAGGGGACATGAGATGATTAATGGGAAACAGGTGAATTGATTGAGAACTGTATTTCTTTGGCTCTAACAGTTGAAATCAAACCTTGTGAGAGTTTTAGAGGGGAAATGCCTCTTTGATGGAACTGCTGACAACTCACAGACATCTGAAAGGTGACAAAGGGCCCCAACTACTTTTCTGTTAGGGCCACAATCCATAAATGTTGGAACTGCTGGTTAAATACTGAACAGTGTATTTTATTTTCTATCCATCAACACATTAAAGCAGTGGTATTCAATTACAATTTTAAGAAGTCCAGTTAGAGAAACTTTCCCTGAGCTCTAGTTTGTCCTGCCAGCTAGGATTGGAGATATGATATATTCTGGTGTTAAACTGAGAACTAAGAACATCTCTGGTGAATCTTGTGGACTCGATTCGCATTGCTTATCTCAATGCACAGATTTAATTGGCTAAGCAGCCTCACATGAGACAATTAGAGCACTTGCAATTGGTCTGTGAGTTTCCTGGGCCACTAAACCAGTACAGTAAATGCTAGAAAAGCTGTGCAGGTTAAAATAGAAATGCTCCGTCACGAAGTAGTAATTCTCAATAATAGATCGGCTGTACGCCCGGGTCCGCCAGTTAGTGACCTCTGCTTTAAAACCATGTGTAATGTTAACAGATTGTGGATTCAACATGTAACCAATCAGGCACTTGTTCTCTTCACAGGCTGGGACCCCTCCTCCTGCCTCCTCCATCAGTACCACTATGTTCCTGATCGTGTGACCTGGACTGAAGCTCAGACCTACTGCAGACAGAACTACACAGACCTGGCCACCATCGAAAACACTGAAGAAAGGAACCAAGTTATTAACACAGTTCCATCTCTGGGTCCCAGCTTGGCGGTCTGGATTGGCGTGTACGTTAATCTGAACTGGAGGTGGTCAGACGGCTACACAGGGACGGGACCGGTCAATACGGGGTGGATAAATTTTAATCCAGTTCTAAACTCTGAGCCCAATACCTCCTGTGTTTTAGGTGGATCAACATGGCAGACTAGTAACTGTACACTGGGATATCCATTCATCTGTAATAATGGTAAGTACCAAGCAAAACATTATTTCCTCTCTGATAGTGATTATTTTAAAGTCTGTCAACTCAAAAGAATATTTTTTCCCAATCTGCAGGAACACAGCTGGATCCTGAATTTGTTTATGTGAGTCAAACATTGAGTTGGTTAAGCGCTCAGAGGTACTGCAGGGAGAACTTCACGGACCTGGCCACTGTGAGGAACGACACTGAGAGCCAGAAGGTCCAGAGCCTGATACCGAGTAGAACCTGGGCATGGATCGGTTTGTTCGGAGATCCTCACACTTACTGGTCTGATGGGAGTAACTCCTCATTCAGATTCTGGTACACAGGTTCACACTCAGTTGACTGGAAGAGTGTCACATGTGGTCTTTCAGATGTGTGGATTTCAGGAAAATGGCTTTTACTTCCCTGTAACTATAGATACGCATTTGTCTGCTACAGCGTCCCTGGTGAGTGAGTTTCCTGTGCTTCAGCAGAAGAGAGAATAACTGAGTTTGGTATCACAAAGGTGATTCAGCATGTTGTTCTTCTCTGTGTCTAAGCAGTAATGAAATGGGCAGTGAAGCTGAGGATGAAGCTGGAGGACTCCTCTGTGGATCTGAACGATCCTGCTGTGAAAGCAGACCTGCTGAAAAAGGTGAGTCTCCCAAATCCACCCCGAGGCCCTCAGGAACTCTTGGAACTGTTGAGTTGTTTGGCTGTGTGTCTTTGTTGGTTCCCTGTGGACAGCAGGTCAAAAAGCAAATGTTTCCTGATGGCTGCCATGTGTGTTTCCCAGCTCCAGGACAAGCTGCAGCAGAAAGGAGAGGGTGGAGTCACCCTGAAGTGGAGAGAGCAGACTGATGGTAAAGTCTTCCACAAAGATGAAGATATGCTCTGAAACTGAAATCCAACTTGTGTTTCTCTGTAATCCTTGGTGAATGTTGATATTCTACCTGCTAATTCACACTAAGATCAGTGTCTGAAGAGCTAAACCAGAACCCTGAATCCATCCTGTAGACCTGTAGTCATAGGAGGGTTTGTCCCTCATCAGCAATGTTACTGAGTGAAGTGTCTTCAAAATAAAAACATAAATGAGACGTGGCTTTTGGCTTCAAGGTTACAGTTTGTGAACCAGACTGATAAAACCATATTTCCACATGTACATGCAACAAACCCGCCCTTCACACAGGACTGGAAGGATGTGATACATCATACTGAATAACCAATGAAATTGTATTTTGTTCATTAGGTTATAAAACAGTGCACACACAGTACCTGGGAATAAAGTATTTATTTACTAAGGTGAAGACAAGTGAAGGGTAATGAGGATATATACAGTATCTGACAAAAGAGAGAACACCCCTCACATTTGTGTAAATATTTGATTTTATCTTTTCATGTGACAACACAGCGCTTTACACATTAATGTCTGTGTGAAGTGTTATTTTGAGGGGGCAGCAAATTTACACTGTTATACAAGCTGCAACGCTCACTACTTTACGCTATTATACAAGCTGTACGCTCACTACTTTACGCTATTATACAAGCTGCAACGCTCACTACTTTACACTGTTATACAAGCTGCACGCTCACTACTTTACGCTATTATACAAGCTGCAACGCTCACTACTTTACACTGTTATACAAGCTGCACGCTCACTGCTTTACACTGTTATACAAGCTGTACGCTCACTACTTTACACTGTTATACAAGCTGCATGCTCACTGCTTTACACCGTTATACAAGCTGCAATGCTCACTACTTTACACTGTTATACAAGCTGTACGCTCACTACTTTACACTGTTATACAAGCTGTACGCTCACTACTTTACACTGTTATACAAGCTGCACGCTCACTACTTTACACTGTTATACAAGCTGCACGCTCACTACTTTACACTGTAATACAAGCTGTACGCTCACTACTTTACACTGTTATACAAGCTGTACGCTCACTCTCACTACTTTACACTGTTATACAAGCTGCATGCTCACTGCTTTACACTGTTATACAAGCTGCACGCTCACTACTTTACACTGTTATACAAGCTGTACGCTCACTACTTTACACTGTTATACAAGCTGTACGCTCACTACTTTACACTGTTATACAAGCTGTACGCTCACTACTTTACACTGTTATACAAGCTGTACGCTCACTACTTTACACTGTTATACAAGCTGCACGCTCACTACTTTACACTGTTATACAAGCTGCACGCTCACTACTTTACACTGTTATACAAGCTGTACGCTCACTCTCACTACTTTACACTGTTATACAAGCTGAACGCTCACTACTTTACACTGTTATACAAGCTGAACGCTCACTACTTTACACTGTTATACAAGCTGCACGCTCACGACTTTACACTGTTATACAAGCTCACTACTTTACACTGTTATACAAGCTGTACTCTCACTACTTTACACTGTTATACAAACTGCACGCTCACTACTTTACACTGTTATACAAGCTGAACGCTCACTACTTTACACTGTTATACAAGCTGCACGCTCACTACTTTACACTGTTATACAAGCTGCACACTCATCTGTAATATTGGAATCTCAACATATAATTTTAACGGTTTCGCAAATGTCTCCAAACAAAACAAGATCTTTACGTGGCTGAAGAAAGATATTCAAATTGTTGAAAAAATTAGATAGCAAATTAAAATGGAAGTCTGAATGGGGAGGAAATTTTTATATTAGTCATGGACTCAGCAATAATAGAGTAGTAATCATTCTATTTAAACAAAATGTAGATTACACAATTCTGCACTTTTTCCTCACAAAATCTGCCAGTACTGGGAAGATGAAATTAATGCACCAATCCCATGGAAAGAGTACTTTAGATCAATTTATAACACTACAGTAGATTCATATTCAAGAATATTCCTACTAAATAATACATTGTAAAATTGTATATTTTCAGGGTGTGAATGTGAGTGTGAATGGATAAGCCTGAAGAGTTTTTGTAGAGTTTTGTTCTGTATTTTCTTTTAATAAAAAGAAAAAAAAAAGAAAAATCCTTCCTCTTCTTTCCAGGTACCGTACACTTCCTGCCAGTAGTTGCAACACCCCTTTGCTCTAGTCACAAATTAACAAGAAAAATAAGTCAAAGAATAAAACATATGTAGATTCAACAAACTTTGATTGTGTAACATTTTCTAATTTCCAATGCATACAAAGCAGATCCAGCAGGTCTAAAACCAAGACTAAATGAGCATTTGTTCTCTAGATCTTAAGTGAAAATCACACACAAGAAGCAGAAAAGACATCAATCATGGGTTGTCACCATCTTCCTTCTGTTATTTAATCTCTAACTGACGTTGCTTTCATTTTCACAGTGGCTGCTGATGTTTAGGCAAACAGTGCCTTCTTTCCTGATTAAAATGATTATCTCGATGTCATCAGGGAATGCATACATGAGACGTCCTGACAGGAGACTTAAAGGTCTTAAAGTTTACTGAAAATTTATATTTACTATCTAAACTGAAGACTCCGGACCTTCCCCTCCTTATCACACCTTTTTTCACACCTCCCCTCATGAGTGCTAGATACACAAATCAGGGACGCTTTACCTTTTGGTTTAATTTACAGCAAAAGCTTCCTCTTTACTGGAAACCAGCGTTATTTTGAGACTTCAGCATGCACTGCCGCTGAGCATGTCACGATAAAGGTCTCCAGAGGTAAAGGTCTCTTAAGTCAAAGGTAAGGTCAGGCACAAGAGATAAGTCTTTATTATCCATTTCAGGAAACTTGTCTTTGGCCTCACCAGGTTCATTATAAAACATTAAAAACATCAAACACAGGACACAAACCACCAGTATATTTAAACACAGAAACCAATAGGAGCTTCCAGTAGCCTGGTTATCTCTGCAATTGCGCGAGGGATAAAATCATTTTTAAAAAGGTTTATTGTTGCCCTGGGTAACCTATAAAGCCTTCCTGAGGGGAGCTTGTCAAATTCAGCAAACAGGGGGTTTGAAGGATCCCCCACAATTCACTGTGCTTTCTGTCTGCAGTGGAGCGTATATATCTCACTCAGCTGTCTCTGTGGTGTACGTATGATTTTCACAGGCATTTTCACAATCCTTGCTAATTTAGACCTATTTCTATCCCCAAGACAACCATACCATGTTGATATGTTGTACGTGAGACCAACTCTAGGGTATTTTCACTTACAGAGAAGCTGTTCAACTTCCCAACAAATACATCATTGCATGGCCTTTTTATAGATATAGTCAGAGTTCGCTGCAAAACTCAATCTACTGTCAAGTTGTATTTAAAGTCCTCCACAATGTCAACAGGACGGTCATTAATGTTTACTGTGTTTAGGCAAAGTGGGATGTTATTATTGCAGATTAGTCCTTAGTTTTACTGGCATTTATAACTAGAGCACTGTTTGAACACCAGCAAATTGAGCTAGTCAGTTAAAGATTATCAGTCTTAAAGCGACGGCAAATCACGTTACTTTATGGTTTGTTTACGTGTCAGGCAGTCAAACGGTTTCTATGAAGGCCCCCCAAGAACCAGAACCAGTGGCTTCCAGTGTCCTTTGCTTCACATTCATCTCGTTCTCACAACAGTACTTAACTTTTTTAAATGTCCCTTTTGCTCATGCTGCAGAGGCGACGCCATCCTTTCTGCCTTCTCTTCTTCTACTATAACCCCCTCCAGGCCGACCTCCCAGGGAAAGTTTATTCCTCTCTGCTTCAGCACAGCGTCCACACGAGAGGAAAACACAAAGGACAGTCTGAATGATGAACTGTGTTCCCAGCTTAAGCGATCTTTGTGTACCTGAGAGACGAGACAGAGACAAGAACTGGTGAAGAAGAGTTTCCAGAGCTGACAGGAGGGAGGTTCCCAACATCTGGCTCTGGGCCCAAACACGGACTCAACACGTGAAGTTAGGTCATCAGGCAGCACGAAGGCTCACATTTCATCTCACCTGTACCTGAAGCAACACGGTGAAGTGTTCACACCCAGAGAGCAGCTTACACACAGCCTCCATGGACCACAATGCAACGCTGCATACTGCTTCAGTACATGTGATTTATATGTTTGAATTCAGAAACTGATGTGTGACGACGTCTTCAAGTCCAAATATAGGCTAAATAATGAAATGATGTAACATTTGCTGTGTGAAACTGCTTCTGCCTTTTGTTTCTGTGCAGGTAAACGTTTTATTCTGTAAGAGTTTTCATTTTGAACATGAAATGGTATTAAAGTTGGTGAAGAGCTCATTATGACTTGTTGTGGACTCGGAAGTCAAAGTTTAGGACTCTCGCTGAAGAGTCGTGTTGATGTTGATTTATTTTAGGATAAATATATCTGCGACATAATGTTGCTTTAACGTGTTTTATAAAGTAAAGTTTATCATTATTAAACATCAGCTGATTGTTGTTGTATCGATCCACTAATCGTCTGTATTGAGTGAACTGGCCCTTTAAACTGTAAACACCTCTACCTGTAACACACAGCTCAGCCCCGCCACCTGGTGGAGACAACAGCAACAACAACAACAACCCTCCAGTCAGCATGTGACCCGTCTCTGAGAGGTTGTATTGATCAGTCTGTGCTGTAGCAGAGTATCAGCTACTACTAATAATACTTCTACTACAGGAACAACCGTTGATGCTGCTGAGTTTATACAAATGTATTTTTGAGGATTTCACAGAATTTAAATATGTAGTTTACTTTAGACAAAGTTTAAACAGCAGAGCTGCAGATTACTTACTTTATCAGTTCAGTTCATTGATTTATCCTCTTTGAAATGTTGAAACAAAAGAAATAGTTTTAAAAAGCTCTTCAACAGTCTTGTTTTGTTCGACCAACAGTGCAAAACTCCTGATCAGCTGATAACCAGTCAGTGGTCTCAGTGGTTTTACAAACACAGTAAAGTGCTGGTTCCAGCCTCCAGGTGGAGCTTTACAACTGTTCTGTATTGTATGAATATCTTTGGGTTTTGGACTGCTGGTCAGGAAAAACAAGACTTCTGGAGACATACAGGACTCTGGGAAACTGGGATGGTCGAGTTCATGACTCTCTGACATTAAAATAAAATAATCAGCAGATTAATCACCAATAAAAAT